GTTAGGAACAACAGCTTTATGTTGCTTAAATTTAATTCGAATTTTATACAATCATACTTTGGCTTTGCCCAAATAGAGAAAAAAATGTACTCATCCTAAGCCCAATAAAGAAATCAGAAACAAGAGATGAGCTTGCAGATGATAATATTAAAATAATATCTTTTCCGGAAGAAATTAATAGGACTGTAATTCGTGATTTGCGCATATTTAAAGCTTCTTCAAAAGAATTTCATTATCCTAATATCACAGATTTTGCAGACAAATAAATCAATAAACTGAAACAAGAATAAAATATTAGCTTCGTTTTTCGGTATCAAATTTTTTAAAAAAAATGTAACTATTATTTATTTTTCATAAATGGAAATAGAAAATTATTTTCTTTTTCTTTCTATTTAGAAACTGTTCTCCATTATTTTGTCTGCTAACAATTTTATCTCCATATTTTGTTCTGCAGCGCCCTCTGCAGTGCTGGAGGATTTCTGCTACCGCGGAAATGTCTATTGTTAAGGTTATTGCGAGTCAGTTGCGATTCCTATTTTAAAATAATTTTAAATCTATATTTAATAATTGTTCCAATCAGTTTTATAATCCAAGTTAAACAACCGATTTATTTTAGACCAATTTTTAAATCCGTACAGTGATTATAAACCCTATCTAGAGACAAGAGGATTGCTGGATTAACCATTCGCATTTTCAACTAATCCTCATTTGTAATACGTGGCTTGACAAATCACAAAAACTCTCATGGCTAACCAAACGAGAAAGGGACATTAACGCATGATCTACCACTGGAGATGTTATATCTTAGCCTTACTGTCTGTATGCAGTACACAGTACCCTGTGGCAGAATTTTTTCTAGCTATCTGCGAGAAAACTGTCTAGCACTAAAATCTTTCAGCAAGATACAAACATATATGTTACTAATTTAATTAATAACTACTAATAAACTATTATTAATTACTAATTTAATTTTATAAATAATTAACAAAAGCGCTGTGTCTACAAAAGAAAAACGCACAAATTATTTCTTTCCCCATTTTGTAAATAATCATCAGAATAAAAAAAATAATTAAAAATCTTGAAATCCATTGTCGAAAAAAAAAAAAAAGATCGTCGACGAAATCACGCGAATTGGACTCTACAAAAAGGGGTCACTCAAATGCATAATAAATAATTGTAATATCGCATAAAAAATATCGAATGTTAAAACTTTTGAGAAATCAATAGCAATAACTGCCAAAAATTCCATAGAATCATTGCCTTAAAAAGTAAATACTCAATGCACGATTCGAATTTTCCATATTGTTTGAATTATATTGAGAAATTTAAAAACCACGTGAAAATCAATATACAAAACTGCCAAAAATACAATCGAAACATTACATCGATTTACGAAAAGCAAATTTGCTTTTCCATCTTACACTAACTGGTTTTAAGCCACTGAAAGTTTTTCCGCAACTTTTTAATCGGTATTAACACAAAATAGTTTTAGCCACTGGAAATTTCCCTGCACATTTGCTTTTCGATCTTACAACAACTGGTTGTAACCCAATTGAAATTTTCCAGATCCTTTGATTTTCCTTCTTACATATACAGGCTATTAGCCAACAGAAGGTTTCCTGCGTCTTTTTTTTTCCGTCTTACACTAGCTGGTTGTAAGCCATTGAAATTTTTTTTTTGTCTATGTTTTTCCTTACACCAACTAGTTATAGCAGGGGTCTGTCCAGGCATTTTGTGAAAGGTCCGGTTTTCGTGAAATTGTGAAAAATTTACTCACATTCTTTCAANAGGTTCCGCTTTTGTGAATTTGTGCAAATAGGGTCCGTTATTGCAAAAAACTTTTTCAAGGAGTTTTTAAATTATAAATAAATACAAGATTTATGCTCGGCACTGTAAAATTATAATAACAGAAATTAAAGTTTCAAAAATAAACAGCAATTGCTGCTTCTAAATTAGAGGTGCAACACAAATATTTGATATTTAGCCTATATTGCTGAACACAGAATATGAATTTCGGACGAATAATGGAAGAATCGTCTGCCGAAGACACAACTTAATTCGTTTACATCCATCTTTCTTGGTTTCTGTCCTGGGAAGGGTTTATTCGATTAACAAAACAATAATGAAGATAAACAAATTTGTGAAGGGTCCGATTAAAAGAAAATTTATTTTGTGAAGGGTTCGTTTTTAAGTTAAAATATTTTGTGAAGGGTCCGTTAACGGACCCAAATTTCTTCTAAACAGACCCCTGTATAGGCATATGAAAGTTTCAAGTGGTTCATCATATCATGTTTCTTAAATAAAACAAAAGGAAACACGTTATTTCACATGAAAATGCTAATCGATTAAAATATTAGGTAAATTTTTTTACTATTATTTCCATCTTTTTTAATACATATCCTTTTGTTTTCCATTTTTTTTCACAACTTTTAATGTAATAAGTTTGAATAATTATAATTTTAATTTCAGATATAGCGAGTTAAAATTAGTTTAATACTCCTTTGTAAGAGTATTATACATAAATTTTATAAATTGAATAAAACTTTATTGTTTTCTTATAATTAAATGTTAAAAGTTTTTAATCACAAACACATTTCATCAAATTACAAATTTTTTTCCCTCTCCAACACACAGAAAATTTTTTCACTTTTTATTTCCACAAATAAAATTCTTCTGAAAGCGTTAAAATCTTAAGTGTCATTTATATTACGAGCTCTCTGTCTTAGTCGCTGTCCGCTAAAAACAATAATCATGCGACTGAAATTGCAAACATTCTTTTCCGACATGATGGAGTGTTCTAGGGATGAATTAAACCAGTGTTACCCAAAAAATTCATTTCGCGGAATAATAATTTCCTTCCTTTGTAAAAATTTTGGATGCAAAATTTAAAGTAGAGTGGTATCTTTGGATAAGAAAGAGATGTGATATTTTTAAAAAAAAAAACTTCTAAAGATTTTTTTTCATTGGCATAATTATGCAAATATAAAAATATTGTTTTGAGGCATTTAATTATACGTGACAGCTATAAATTTCATTCGAAATATTAAAATAATAGTCATGTAAATAAATTAAAATGACTAGAAAACTGCTTTTTACATTTCGAGATGGGACAGATTACTGGTAAAGTAGCAAACATACAAATATTGGTGTGGATTGATGTTCTTTCCTCGTGAAGGCCAACTTAAAATTTAAATTGAAAAATCATAAGACAAATAAGTGACTGATGTGTGTTTATGTGATTTGAAATATACATTTTAATTGTTTTTAAAACATATCATAAGGACGAATAGTAACTTGGGTTACGATTTCTGAAATATGCTAAAAACAGCTAAAAATATACAAACTTTATTTCAGCTAGTTTTGATTACCTCCTTAATTATATATACTGCTAAGATGCGTAAGCCACAAATACTTTCTTTCCAGCTCTAGCAAAAAATATGATATATTAAGTATGAAAAATATGATATATTAAGATAGTATACAGTTTAGTTTCACATTCACTTTTTATAATTTAAATTATTACAAATATTTATAGGCTTAAATGGATATAACACTACAGTCGAACTCGTTTATAACGAGCACAAAGGGACCGTAACATGTACTTGTTAAATCCGAGTGCTCGTAATAAACGGGTCCTTAAGACAGGCGTGCAACCCGAAGAGGGGGGGGTCTTGGGAGGTCANTTTTTATAATTTAAATTATTACAAATATTTATAGGCTTAAAAGGATATAACACTATTCTCAATATTTAAAAAATTTAAACTTAATTTGAATTTTACCATTATTTTATTGCAGTGAATCCCAAAATTAAGTTCACGAATGCATTTCTTAAATAATCTACTGTAAAAAAAATAATTCCAATGATGAGTTTTAATCCATATCAAATTTTTAATTATTTTCCGGATTTTTGTCCCACTGTGCTCTTATAGAGCCTTTTATTGAAGGGACGTGTATTTAAAAGTCTTAAGATAGCTATAATTTTAAAATTAACAAACAAATATAATTTGTTATTTAGGTACTTAAAGCATATTACGGCATTTGTTTATCTAACATTATACCTTGCGAAATTAAAAATAAAAAAAGAGGCTAGTTTTGTAACTGAAGCCTAGTACGTGTTTTCAATTGAGTACTGGCACTCTCATACCACCACTAAGACCTCCCATATCCACACATGTGACCTATGACGTCACCACCAGCTAATCTTTATCAGCAAAATGACGTATTAAAGTTGAGCTAAAGTTTCTCTACATAAGTTAGAATGTTAATTAACGATAAGTTAATTAAATACAGTGCCGTATCGTACACCGAGTTTGTTGAAATATAATTCGTTCCAGCTTATTTATTTTATTTAACTTAGATTTAATATTTGTTCATGTATTTCATTGTAACCGCGATATATTTTTGTTTTGTGCACCTGGCAACTTCGATGCATTATTAGTTTGTTTATTTTCCACGTGGCTTCGTGCCTGTCTTTGTGTTAAATCTCTTTGTAAATATATAGTACAAGGAACTGAAATCTTTGTGAAAGAATTTAGAATGTGTCACTTAAGAGAATTGATACTTGATGGGCTTGGCTTACTCGAAATAGAACGGAAAGAACAGTTCCTAACGTAAACAAATGCCATGTTTCGACAACCAATCAGGATCGAAATGCCCACACTACGTCACTTGCAGGTATCCCATTGTCCTAAATATGTACTGCATGACATTTTGTGTGTTTCTCTTGAATCATTTTATAAGCCTACCTTTACGAAATATTTTTCTTTATAAGCAAACAAAGGACTGCAGCTTTTTAAAGACTATCTCACGACTCGTACTTTTACGTAATATTTTATAAAAAATTTAGAACAGAATAATACGGCTTTTAGGCTTAATTTAAATGTGTACTACGCTCTATTCCCTGAGCCATTACGGCTCGGGAGACCAGTTTGTTGCAAAAAATAATATAAATAAATAAAAGGATTGTTAGATTAAAAATGATTTTGTCTCGATCGTTTCAGATCCAGAGAGGCAGCGAGTGATAATACACCTGAAGGATGTGAACGACGAGCCACCCTATTTCATCAACAGACCCCTTCCCATGCAAGCCGTCGTTCAACTGAATGCTCCACCGGGAACACCAGTTTTCAAACTCCAGGCAAGAGATCCGGACACAGACCATAACATTCATTACTTTCTTGTTAGAGACAGAAGTAAGTATGTTCTTTTATTATTTTTTTTATTCAGACGATGTAGGAGTGATATCAATTAAATAAATCATCTTCTACTTTAAAAGCGTAGTCCTTGATATTGGTTAAATCAAAATTCTGGATACGAAGGTGATCTCAAGCAAAATAATTTACAGATTTTTATTTTTTTAAATATTATGTCTTCACAAACAATTTAATTTTAAATTATAAAATCTGAAATTTAAGCAAAATCAGTAGTATTGTTTTCGAGAAATGAAAAAAGTAAAAAAAGTTGAATTTCTAAATTTTTGTTTCACAGAAACTATTCTAACGATAATTTTTAACATCAGGAAAATGCTTTTTTTTGTTGTTGTTTCGAAGTAGCAAAAATTTTAATTTTTGTTTTACAGTAGCTATTCAAACAAAAATTTTTAACATCAAGAAAAGGCATGTTTTTTTTTTGTTTCTAAGAAGCAAGAATTTTAGTTTTTGTTTTACAGACACTAGTCAAATGATAATTTTTAACATCTATAAAATGGGTGTTTTTGTGTTGTTGTTTCAAAATAGAAAAAAAAAGGTATGTTGACTTGGTCAATTCGCTAAATGTTAAGTCCGGTTTAGCGCTCTGTTTTTATTTACACAATCAATACACACAACTACATTATTTTTGTAATTAACTGCTACTTCTTTATTACAAGTGTTGTGAGCTACAGCTACAAGTATTTTATTTTTTAAAACTGTAGCGACTGTGTACTATGTACTTTTTAAATGCAGCCACTTCGTGGAGAATAGCTTTGTTTGATAACTTAATTTGTTTAATAACCCATTTCCTGAACGGTTTTAAATTAAAGAAATCAACTTATTTAAATATGAAGAATTATTAAGAAATATTTATTTATGTTTACATGAGCCAGTTTGTTATCCTAAACCATGTCTTATGAATTTTTTCTTTTAATCTTTAACTTTTTATTCCTTTTTCAACAGCGAATATTCAATTCGAAGAATGCCAGGAAATTATCAAATATTTGCGATTTTGCTTAGCGTTTAATGATTTCTTATTTCCTCTAAGAACTAAAGTATATCGAAAATTTACAGAGAAAATCTGTTCCATTGAAATAACATTAATGTTTCATGAGCGTACATTCGCACTTGAAAGTGTGATATATATATATATATATATATATGGGGACGGCATGAGTGGTCGTCTT